TACGCCACTGCCAGGACCCCTCTTGTAGTTACCTACAACCCTACTCTGGAGGTAATACGCAAAATCATCCAAGATCTACAGCCAGTACTCTCAGAAGACCCCATGCTTCAAGAAATATTCCCTCAGCCCCCAATACTGGCTTTCAAGCAACTACTGAACCTGAGAAGAATGGTACGCAGTAAGCTGACCCCAGAACAGGAACTGACACAGAATGGCGCAAGTACAATGCAATAAACCCCGCTGCAAACTTTGCCAACATATATGTGACAGAAATACAGCGAGTCACAATAACAAAGCGTACGCCATTAAGGAATCATACTCATGCACATCTGCTAACGTGGTGTACATGATACAGTGTTCAGCATGTGACAAAGGTTGTTACATTGGGGAAACTGGCCTTAAGCTGCAGCTCAGGATGAACCTGCACAGGAGCTCCAAAGAGGATGAATATTGCACCCCACTAGGACCTCACATCTCCCAGAAGGATCACTCCATCCAAAACCTCAATATTAAGGTACTGAAAGGGAATTTTAAGAGCTCTCATGAAAGGAAAACATTTGAGATGAAAATGATTTTACATTTCAATGCCATAAAGGAGGGACTTAATGTGGATTCTGGTTTTCTGACACACTACCAGAACTTTTTATGAATATACAGAACATCATAATATTCACGTATGTTGTATCTCTCTGATCTGTTTGTCTTGCTTTAAGTGGTAAACTCTGTCATGTTGATTAGTATTGCTTCTGACCTGAAGAAGAGGTTAACTCTCGAAAGCTTGTCTTTTAAATAACATGTTAGTCCAATAAGAAAGGTATCATTGCATACTGCAATACTCAATTTTTTTTTGTACATATATATATACACTGAGTGGCCAGATTATTATGACCACCTGACGTTTGTAGGCAAATTAGCTATAATTTGGTGCTGAAGTTGCTAGAGGGCCAGACCATTATAAATAGGGAAGCAGGTTGTTTACCACGACAGCAGAAGTGATTTGCTTCTGAAGATATGGGGAAACAACGCGATTTAACAGCCTTTGAACGTGGGATCATTGTTGGCGCGGAGCCATGGAGTGAGTATCAGCAAAACAGCAGAATTCGTTAAATGTTCAAGAGCAGCTGTTGTTAAAGTGTTTAAAGACTGGACTGTCAGCCGAAAATCTGGGTCTGAATGTGCGAATTGTGGCCGTCAGCGACTAGTCAATGTTAGGGCAGAACGGAGAGTGGCAAGACTGGTACAAGACAACAGAAGGGCAACAGTGCAGTGTCAGATTCCTCGCATCACCTTTCACCATCTCGTGGTCCAACGAAGTACTGATGGGGTGGTCATAATAATCTGACCACTCAGTGTATATTATTATTATACAGGATTTATATAGCGCCAACAGTTTGCGCAGCGCTTTACAATATAGGGAAGACATTACAATCACAATACAAATCAAGGCAAGATGGTAAGAAGGGCCCTGCCCCTGAGGGCTTACAATCTAAAAGGGAGGGGGAAGTGATACATGAGGAGGATGAGGAGTATATTTCCTGTTACTTTTGTTAGACTGTTACATATTATCCCACGGGGGATTTTTATTACGTGTCTACACTCACCCTTTCCAGTCAATAACTGACACACCTACCACTATTACTAGGTCACAACTTTTAAAATTAATTATACATTATATTTCATTCTCACCAATACAACATCACAACAGAAACACATTGCCTCCCTCTAGTGGTCATTTACTATTAGCGATTCACGGTTTCCTCTTATTCATTTGTTTTTGTACATTTTTTCCTCATTTATGGAGTTTTTTTTTTCTACTCTCACATCATATACAGTATGCACAGTATGTGATAATAACAAATAAAAAAAATACCCCATAAAATATTTTAAAACTTTTTTATATATGTCTCCTTTTCTTTCCTTCCTTTTGGCAATTTGGCGTGATTTTTTATGTAAGGTATTTTTTAAGACAACAGGAAAAAATGGGGTTAAAATGGCAATTTTTATTTTTGACACAGGGCACGTGCTTACTTTCTGGTTAAGTTGCTATTTGGACTACTATCCTTCCATTGTCTTGGAAAAACCCAAATATTAAAAATATATATATATACCTAAAAAAGGGAAAAGAGGGAAATTATAAATTTTTTGGGATAGAGTAAGTGTTCTTTTTCAAGTGTCACTTTATGCAAAAGACATACCTCCTGGGACCCAGTTTGCGCAGTTAGCATGGGAACTTGCTGGCTCAACGAGACCCACAGTCAGTGTCAGTTCATCAAGATGACTCAGAGTGACATCCAATGTAGTGTAATTGAGGCCGGCGGGTTACAAAGGTTGTTTTCTGAGCAGGTGAAGAAGCCTTCTGACTTTTGAAGGGACCTCTAAAGGAGTAGCTAACAAGAGAGCATGGGGAGGCTCAGAGTGCTTTACTAGGGACCTAATTCATCAACAAGAGAGGGAAAACAGAACATACCAAGTACAATAGAGTGCAAATAATAAACAGACTTCTGTGGCAGCACAATAGCAAATAGTTAGGACCCTTAGCAGATTTCTGTTGCTGTTTTTGACCCTCTGAGAGGATTTACACCACTATTTGTCTCGCTGACCATTGTCGCTGAGTGAGAAAGGAAGGTGAAATCTAACAAATGTGAGCTGTCTTCAGAGCAAGAGGTGAGGGGAAATGCTTTACCTGCTCCTGTGACAACTGTCTCAGGTGGAGATTTCCTCTCATTTCTTGTTGTGTCTCCAGGAGAGGAAGTGATGGGGTGTCTATCCAGCAGGACACAGGCAGCAAAACACAAAAAGTAGGGGGGTTTCACCCTTTCCCATTCTATCTTAGGCAGGAAAAGCTATCTATCATCTATCTATCTATCTATCTATCTATCTATCTATCTATCTATCTATCCTGTATCTATCTATCTATCTATCTATCTATCTATCTATCTATCTATCTATCTATCTATCTATCTATCTATATATCCTGTATCTATCCTGTATCTATCCCGTATCTATCTCTTATCTATCTAGTATCTATCTCGTGTCTGTCTATCTATCTCGTGTCTGTCTATCTATCTTGTGTCTGTCTATCTATCTGGGTTTTTTTCATCATTGTAAGTCATTATGGATCAGTGGAGTGATTTCTGTGAAATTGATGCCCACAAAATGGCTGATTTTACTTTTGACAAAATTTCAGCAAAATTAGCATCTCATTTCCTGTTATTTTCAGTTCAGGCAAAATTTGTTTGCAAAAAGTATTATCATATCAAGTAAATCTTCCCAAAAACTGTGGAAAAAAAGGAAAATAAAACATTTAAAGTGATGGTACTCAAGGATGTTTTGTGTTTTATGTTTTCCTTTATTTTTGTGTATTTTATTTTAATTTGTTGTTTTCACAGAAAGAAAGTAAAATGAAATATAAATATTCATACTATATAAAATAAAACAAAAGCAACCACCTCATCAAATGAGCAGAAATACAATATTTTTGGGGGGTTCCTGGGTTTGGATGTGACGTCTAAAGATTGCCTGTTAGCCGCCCACTCACGCACGAGCGGGAACCTGTCAAAATTTGTAAACGGGCTACAAGCCGCCAGATCGCTTGTATGAGGTGCCGGTCTGTGCGCCCCCCCAGTAGGCCCCCCCAGCCCCCTCCGCTGGTCCTGAGCTCCGCTGTGCCCGGCACCAGCACAGTGGCACTTTGACAGGGGGTCAGAGGGAGTTCGGGACACGATTTCCCTCTGATCTCCTCATTGTCGGAATGCAGGAAGTGATGTATATTACATCACTTCCGCATTCTGCTGTCACTCTCTGGCTTCAAAAGCTGGAGAGAAGCTGCTGAAGCAGATCTTTCTTTCTTCTTTGGGGGTCCTTAGGTGACATTGGGGGTCTTAAAGACCCCCTGATGTCACCATACAGAGGACCTTTCACATCCTCTTTGCTATTGCATAAGGGGATTCTTAGCACCCTATATGATAACAATGAAGTTAAGTGGGGAAAAAAATGTATGTTGCCAAAAAAAATTAAAGCCACATAAAAAAATAATTTTAAAAAACCCACCCACACATACACGCGCACAAACATGCGTCGGGTGCGTCTACGTGCAAAAATGACGATTGCGCCCATTACGCCACACATGTTACATATCACCACGAATGCCGGGGTGAGAGCAATAATTTTAGGGCCATCAATCACTGATAACACTAAACTGATGAGCTTTAAAAGCTTTTAAAGCGTTGCCTAAGGTCAATTCTGGGTATGGCAGTTTTTTGTGATTTTGCAGGTACGGGCAATTTTAAGACTTGACATGTTTGGTGTCTATTTACCCGACGTGATCCCGTCTTTTATATTTTACCAAAAAATTGGGTAATAATGTATTATAACATAAATGTAAAAAAAAAAAAAAAAATTCAAAATTTTCGATAATTGTTTCTTAATATAGTAAAAAATAAAGACCCCAGGGGTGATTAAATACCACCAAGCGAAAGCTTTATCTGTCCCCAAAAATGGTATCAAATGAATTTCAGTACAGCGTTGCATGACGGAATAAATGTCAGTAAAAGCACTTCAGCGCTGAATACTGAAAAATGGCCTGGCCAGGAAGGGGGTGTAAACACCCCGGTCAGCAATTGGTTAATGATCATCATACACAATAGTTATCAGCATCCTCTGAGGATATTGGAACATCTCCGGTCAGCATAAATGTATGGAAATGTTATCTCTTCTGGAAGTTTTGTCTCTTCTGGAAGTTTGGTCTCTTCTGGAAGTGTTGTCTCTTCTGGCTCTCAAGGTTGAAGCTGTTTGTTTAGGCCAACAACCTTGATCTACAACCCGCCCAAGCAGGCCAAGTCTGGATATGAAAAAGCTGGAATAAGAATCTCAAGTTAAAATGTATTTAGCTCCTTCAGGGCAAAACAACGGGCTCGATTTAACAATGACCACTGCAAAACTTATACTCACATTTCCTTTGCTACTCAGCTACTTCGTTCCCTTCAAAGAGACTATCTATCTTATTGTGAACATATATAAGACAACAGAAGGTCCACCTCATTCTTAATGACTTCTTGACCTGGGTGGATATCATTAGGAAGGTAGTGACAGGACGTCATATCCCAAACATCTATTATAGAGACTGCCATTCCCTTGAAGACTGCCCTCAATAAAATGTCCAGCTGAAGGGACAACCAGTCACTAATGTCTACTGTCCTACTACCGGTATTAGCAGATTTTACAATAACGGTGGTCTGAGGGCTACGGAAAAGCAGAGATTCAACTGCCTGACGAACTCTTTCCAACCGTTCCAGGTAGACCATCACAGGGTAAGTAGTGAAATGAGCCCATAGAGTTATCACAATTATAGTCTGAGGTCCTCCACCAATCCCAGCCAGGCTGGCTGCTTCATAGTGCAGGTCGGCCACCATGGTCTTTCCGGTCTTCAGGGGAAGTCCATGAGCGCGATATCGTAAGGCCAAACCAGCATTGGGTTCCACCGCCAACAGAGGACCTGGCAGGTATGTTACATGTAAGTCAATCCTTTTCAGACCTAAAGAGACAGGTAAAGTGGTTGTGTTATTGGATGCCAATTCTTGATTTTTAACGAGCAACTTTATAGTGAACCTGGGCTCTGTCCATGAAGGCCAAAGCAACAAGTTCACTTGAAGTATATGTAAACCTTAACTTCTCTTGTTTGTTGCCTTTTGGTCTTTGGAATATACCATTGGGAGTGTCTTGTTATATCTGTTCTGTGCAAAAAATACCTGTTAATCCTGCCAGAAATCCAGTGCTGCCCTGTGCTCTCTGCAGTGCTATCTCAAGCACTGTTATCCGCCCCTGCCCAGTTCACCTCTGTGGACCACAGAACACCTCCCCCTATGTTATGAAGATAAGGAGAGGGAAGGTGGCACACTTCCTGTGCTAGGATGACAACACTGCTCCTTTAGCGGTACATTACAGAGAGTGAGCGCTCTCACCCTATAACAGGAAATGTCTTACTGGCAGGATCACCAGGTGAAAAAAAGAATGCAGCCACAACATCTTTGGGTTTTAGTTACATATTAATGATGGCCCTCTCTAGCTGTACATATCCACCTTACTTTTATTTCCCCACCATGCCATTCAAAGTATGGTCCCACATCCTATTTGCATGCTTGTTTTGAGTTACGGATATAAAGTATTGAAGCAAGAGGCTAAACATGACAACCAGGAAACTAGCATTTGAAAAGCTGCAATGGTAGCTTCCATCTCTCTATCAGGAGAGGTTCTCTTTAATTGCAGCATCATGAAGACTCTGGACTGTTATGGGAATTTTTTGTTGAATGTTGGGTAAGCTGCTTACAAATGTTCTTGCTCTGTACACGTTGTTGAGGAAACATTTCAGTGAAGGTTTGGAAACAAAAACCCGAGTGAGAAGATTGAACCTTACTTGGGATGAACTTTTCCAGGTACTCGAACCACTGGCGCAGTGTGGAGTCTCCGAACATGTGGATGTCTTTCCCTTTAAGGCATGCCAAGGCTTGAGCCGGAAGAGAGAAATGTATTACTGAGCATGTCAAGCTGATCCAGGTGTTCATATAATAAAATCCAGTTGGTCTTGGAGATTCCAGGCCAGGCCTACAGGGTGGGAGGTTGGAGGTGAGGCCTGCAAAATGGTGTGAGAGAAAAGAGACAAAACATGAGCAATGCTCAGATGAAAGACTCAGTCCAACCCAAATTGTTCACTGTTCTAGATGGAGTGGAGAAGAGTAGGAACCTCTGTCAATGTAGAGCATACCATGCTTCAGTTGCTCTCTCTCTTTGGTGGCAGCTCCACCACTTGTACAAATTGCTACACAATGGAAGCCCCTTTTCTGTTTTGTCCCAACTGTACGGGGAGCTTGGCTGGGAGAGGTCCAGTATCAAAGTGAGGGTGGGGGGAGATCAACCACCATGAGTGACCTGAAGGTGAGAACATTGCACGTACTTTTAGAACAGGAAGTGATTAGGGTTTTTGAGCTTGTTGTATCCTACTTAAGTGTGGTCATGCACCTTCTGTATATTTATACTGACGCAGGGCTTCAGTGGTGGAGGAGTGACAGAATGAGTAGACAGAGCTGATGGGTGAAAGTTGTTACTGAGGACTCCAAACATACTTCATTCATATGTAGAGCCAAAGGAAATCTCACCGCTCCAATTCCTTAGCCACCATACGTAATTCATAAACACATTGTAAGAATATTGTTACAAAGTATTTTGTTTACTGCCTACGGGTAAATCAAAGAGCCTTGCCCGTAAACCTTCAAGTGTAAAAAAAAAAAAAAAAATGTTCCTTGTGAAAGTTAACCCTAACAAGTCTTTATTAACTCCTTTCTGATATGTTCCCCTTAGCTATTTTTTTTTTTGGTTTACCTTTTATGTACTATGTTTCTGTTTTGGAACTATTTTAACTTTTTTCTATAGTGTTTGAATAAAAAAATACATGTTTTTTTTAAACACAATTTTTTATTTCATTTCTAAAAAAAACTTTCTCATGCTTTGCATCAGAAGCAAAATGTTTGTGCTGTCGTCAACTGGACAAATAACAGAATAACAACACAGCAAACAATAACAACAAACTGGTTATCATAATGATAATGAAAACTCATCTCGTCCCCCACCTTTAAAAAATAATGACCTTACAAACTTATGACCCCCTTTTATTTAAAATGGTATGTCCATAGAAAGGGTACTATATGGCCAATGTGGACATCTGACCATTGCACCCGTAAGTGCTTTTTAGACATCCCATTACAAAACCATGGCTAATATTATAGACAGGGCTTGAAAAATGTGATAGTGTCTCACCAGTCAGTCAAAAATTTCACCAGTCAGCATGACCGGACTATAGCCTTGCAATTTATGTTAAAAAAGTTTGGGGACAGATAGTGCTTTCTTTTGGAGGTATATAATCACCACGGGGGGGTTTTTTTTTTTACTATATAATTTAAAAAAGTACCATAAATGTAAAATAAACGAAAAAAGTTTCCCTACGTTATGTTATAAAACATTTATTCTTACCCATATTTTTAGTAAAACATAAAAGTCAGGGTCAGGTCGGGTAAATAGACACCAAACATGCCAAGCCTTAAAATTGCGTGCGCCCGCAAAAATTGCTCTGCCCCCTCCCCCGTCCGTTCCGCCCATCAGCGCTGGAGGATCAGAGGGGGGAATCCAGCCCTCCCCTGTCACGGCTCTGTGCCGTGACAGGATCGAGAAGTGAGCGAACACAGGTATGTGTTCGCTCACTTCCCGATCTACTGAGCCGACCTGTGACAGTCTCATTGTCACAGGTCAGCTAGAACTATGAGGTGAGTGAAAAGCACTCACCTCATAGTTCTCCTTTAGGCTGGGTTACCACCCAGCTGCGTTCGAAATATGCGTGTATGACGTGCGTTTTGCGGTGCATGTTTTAACCGCGATTTGCAGCCCACAAAACGTGCGTCAAACGTGCTCGAAAATTGGAGGGAACTTCAATTCAAAATTGTCCACAGAGCTTACTACGCCTTCAACTTAAAATACAGGGCCACCCCTCCTGAATGGCTGACATCTTGTCCTAAATGTCATGCCCCATACCCGAATCTGGAACATTTGATCTGGTTATGCCCACACATATTAAGGTTCTGGTCGCACATACTTTCCTATATGGCTAATCTTTCGGGTATCCATAGGCAAAGGGAACCACTTCTATGCCTTTTTCACACCCCAGGCCCTGCGTGCGTTCCACGGACCAAACGGCTCACCAGGTGGGAACACCTGTGTATATTAGCGGCGAAAAAGGCCATTCTAACAAATTGGCTGATACCTGCTCCACCTTCCTTGCAACAACTTACAGACCTACTTAATAGACTGATGTCGCTGGATAAACTAGATGCCCAATACAATTGCACATACACAGAGAAATTCTTCGACACCTGGACCCCATTTATGGTGTTGACCTTGCAAGCGCCTCAATTGAAAGAGATGGTATCCTTGTTTAAGGATACGGTTTGGTACCACACATCCAAATTAAATAGATCGTTGGGTACCCTTGACGTCCTTTAACGACTCCCTACAATGTCAATGTCAATTCATGTCTGAATCTGCAGGTAGAGTTCTTCCTGCTGCCCTGCCACTGTATGTGATTATGTAGGGATTCCCTATGTTCCTGCTGGTCCCTTCCCCCAAAGGGTACGAACGAATCTGCTAAATCTAAAGGTGATTGCGAGTCTTGTTCTTGTTCTTGTTTTTGTTTGTTTGTTGGCCTTGAATTAAGACTGTTATATCTTATACCTCTGCATTATTACTGAAGGCAATACATTTCTATATAGTTAGCACTGTATCAATGTACTACTGTATCGCATGTCATCTTCAGTTGTATGTCACAGAACTGCAAGTTTGCAAGTCAGGATGCAGATTGTACTATGATATGTCTTTTGTTCTGTATTTTTTTTTTTTTATGACAAATCTGAAAAAAAAAAAAAATGTTATGCTTCTTTATTTTTTTTATCTTTGTGGATGATAAGGTATTTGGTGAGTTCAGCTCTCTGATAAGGATTGTCCGCAGTGATTATATCTGCTTATACAGGCCGGGCATAGAGGTCTCAGCAAGGGATAAATCACAACAATCGGAGTCAGAATACCAGGTCCCTTATGCAATGCAGACAGATCATGCTTGGTGGGAAAGGTCTGCAGGATTTTAGACTGTAGCCAGCCTAATCAGATTGCATAGTTCTTCCCCTAAGCTCAGTGTTATTGTAGCGCTACCCCCTATGGAGCCGCTGGAATAATCAAATCTTCCATAGCCTGTCTAGTTGATTTTAGCAAGCCCCAGTAGCATTAACCGCCATGTACTTGTTACTGAAAGGAGAACTATGAGGTGATTGCTTTTCACTCACCTCATAGTTCTAGCCGACCTGTGACAATGAGACTGTCACAGGTCGGCTCAGTAGATCGGGAGGTGAGCGAACACATACCGGCGTTCGCTCACCTCTCGATCCTGTCACGGCTCTCTGCCGTGACAGGGGGAGGGGCTGGATTCCCCTCTCCCCGCTCCGATCTGCCAGCGCTGACTGGCGGAACGGACGGGGGAGGGGGCGGGTACAGCTGGCTCTGCCTCTAGATAGGCAGAGCCAGCTGTCACTCACGCAGCTGGGCGGATCCCGTCATCTACGTCGGGATCCGCTCCGGCTGCGGAGTCTCGGAGCTTAGGGTGACGGGAGGACGCTAGTTTGTGTCCTCCCGTTACCCTAAGGAGAACTATGGGGAAAAACACTGACCCCATAGTTCTCCTTGAAATCTAGGCCAGGAGGCAGTGGCTGAACTACCGCCGGTGCAGGCGGTGCGGGCGCACCAGGGGCTCGGGCCTCTAGGGGGCCCAGCACAGTCCCAGCTCGCTGCGGGAGGAGAGCGTTGTGTTTGTGGGGGGTTTTTTTGGGGGGGGGGGGCCAAAAAAAATCTTGCACCAGGGCCCTTTGTTCCTTAGGTCCGCCACTGCCAGGAGGTATGATTCTGAAGAACTTTTACTTGAATACATGAACTGGGAGAGAGGGTACAGGGCTTATGACATCCATGAGACAAATAGACAGAACTCCAGACTCACCAGTCCCTTTCAGTATTCCACAATGTAGAATTAATAGGAGCACACACTGACACTGGGTATTTGAGCAACAGCAGAAGAGGGATGGGCATGAGATCTTTAGTAGGAGAGACACCAGGCTTGCTCCTGAGGCCTATTCCAGGCACCTCCAGTAGCCATCCGCTTCCCTGGTTCTCCTCCTCAATCAGTATTACTCCTCCTACAGACTTGAGGCTTAGCAAAGCATTCCCCACACTTGAGTATTCCCACCCCCAAGCCTAAGCCTGTGGCAGGCTAGTCCAACACTGAGTCTAGACTAAGACAGGAAGAGGCACATGGAAGTATATATGCCCTTACCCAGCATGCACCACTGGCCATGAAACCACCAGTGATTGGCTGGAAAGCCACACACACACTCATAATGTCCTCCCATTGGTTGCCCCACACTGCAGCACACTCCACTCAGGCAGGTACAATCAATGCTAGAACACCTGGATTTAACCAGATAAATGCCAACTATAATTCAGGCAGACTGACTACAGCTCTGGCAATCACTAAATCTCTAGTAGCCATTCCACAAAAGGTGATGGGGGCTACATTATCATTTGCATGTGCCTCCTGCTGGGAGTGACCACGCAATAGAGCAGAACCTCCAATAATGTTGTGTTATGACAATGTGTGTTTTTCTAGCCAATCACTACGAGGTTCATGACCAGTAGCGCATGTTTGGGCAGGACATACTGTAAATATTCAGGGCTGACATTGTGAGTCTCTCTCCCCCCTGGGCTTCTGCCTAGGGGATGGTGCGTATTGTGCTTTGCAATATGACCAGTGAAAGGTCTGCAGGTGGTCAGGAAAGGAGACCCAGTGTCGAGGGCCTAGAGCTGTCCCACCAGTGACGGGGGAAGCTGTTTCCGGGAAGGAGTGGCAGGGAGACAGACTCTGCTGGAAGGGGAAGCTGAGAGTGAAGCCTGGAACGTGGCAGGGACTTGGTAACTCTCCTGGAAGAACAAGAAGAAGATGTCTGCTAACAGCTGAAGTTCTGTCCCACACAGTGTCACCCTAATTGATTTAAAGGCTCTCTGCACTGTGAAGCTGGGAAGCTGTTGGTGAGTCTGGACGCTTCAGCTGTCCTAGGTATCTGAAGTCCTTACCCCTCTCTCTGTCGGAGAAATTATATCTTTGAAAACCCTTTCAGTGACTGGCGACCAGTTCTACATTCACATCCCACAACCGGCTAAGGACTCATCCTTGAGGGGAAATGTCAGCCCACCTCCCTCACATGCTTCTGGGGGTCAGGGGGGTGCTACACTATAATAGCAAAACCTTGTACAGAAACAACAGGCAAAATAACAGAAACCTGAAATGACGCTCTAGCATTTAATTAACTTGAAGTACTAACATTCTTACCCAGTGAACTGTTATCTGCCATCACCTTGATTGGAGGAACTGACCCTTGGATCACCTGGAATGTAACAGAGCTGAAAGAGAGCATCATTCAATTGAGGAGTTTGAAGTCTACCATTAGCCAAAGTAACACCTTAAAGGGTCAGTCCACCCGAAACTGATATCTCAATGATGGACAGTTAAGCCCATCTGACAGTTTCTTCTGACTCTCAAGGATTCTTGGTGAGCTCTCAACGCTAACTTCCCGTGTCTTCAAAGGGTCTGCTTATGAAGGTTCCCACTACCCCTGCTGAATCTGTTTACTTTATATTTTGGTGAAGGAAGCAGGAGTCACTGGAACACAAAAAAATGGATAGATAGCAAAAAATTAAAATGGACTGGAACAGAGGCGGGAATTATGGCAGGGAGAGCTCACTGTTAGAGATTCCAAGATATAAGATACAAGGGGCTGACTCAGCCCACTAGGCTCCACTTACAGCTAAAATATCACTTTTGGTTGGACTGCCCCTTTGAAGCAGAACTGCAGTCAAGAGCAAGAAAATAATTATTCCTTTAAAAGATATTATAAAAGAACAGCTTTTGTAACTTTCAATCTTGAGCTTTCACCCACAATACATCTTGTATTGGCTTTAGTTCTGATGACCAGTATCATTGAATTCCTTCCCTCTTAGCTCAAGAAGTTGTAGACCTGCCCCAGTCTGTGACTGAACAGTGAAAGGTGAAGCATCACAGTGATGAGCTCACCTCTCTCTCACTCTGCTTTGTCCTTCCTTCTACCAGCATGCGCCTCAAACTGAATGGTTTCTTCTGCTGGTTCTTCCTCTTGGACTCCATCCCTGCTGTGCAGGGGCTGTGAGAGGCTAATACCAGGTCAAATTTAGGTACTATTTACTGATGCATTAATGACAATAGAGCTGTATGAATTTGGGTCCATAATATCTGCCTAGAGCTGAGCTTTACTCACTGCTCAGTACCGTGAGACCATGACCCAAATTGGAATCTGATGATGAGTTTTAGAAACCCATAGAATGACCCCGTTCTCACCAGACTGTGAGACAGATTGTTTTCAGGCACAGGAGCATGAGATATGGACAGAATCCCTAGTTTGATGGCTGATGGTTGTGCAGGGTGTTATGAGGCGATAGCTCCTGCCCTGCTTTCATTTATAATGTCAAAAAGCACCGGAAACAAAGCACATAAATATATATATAACCTTTGGTTTGTTCTTTAAAGTTATTTCCACTCATCCTCATAGTTAGAGCCAACCTGTGACAAAGAAGCTGTCACAGGTCGGCTCTATTGATGGGGAAGTGAGCAGAAACATGCAGCCGATCCGCTCACTTCCCGATCGTCTCCCTGCAGTGAACGGTGCCTGTCAGTCACCGCTCTCCGCAGGGATCCCCCCCCCCCCCCCTCTCCGATCCTCCAGTGCTGAGTGGAGGAACAAACCGGGAGGGGGCAGGCACAGCGTACTTTGACTCGAGATAGGCAGAGACAGCTGTCACTCATGCAGCTGGGTGGATCTCGACAGTATTGTCAAGATCCGTCCCGGCTGCGGCGCTCACAGTATATCGTGGACAAAAGCCAGCCATACACTGAGCTTTGGGTCACGGGAGGACGCTAGTATGTGTCCTCCCGTGACCCTAAAGAGAACAATGGGGAAAAACACTTACTCCACAGTTCTCTTTCAAGCACAGCCTCTTGGAGCTTATGTGTGGAATAACAACTGTTAAAGAACTTCTCATTTCATGCGAAGAGTTCATTTGTTTGCCTGGTGGGTTGGACAATGTTCTAATACATCCTTTCTCAACCAGGGTGCTGTGGCCTTCTGGTTTCTTCAGGGGTGCCTACAATGTTTTGCACAGCATCATGCCATTCCATGGTGTAGGCAACTCAGCTGGCCACTAGCACCATGGAAACAAATTACGCTAATCCAAGAGTGTGAAATCCATTCAGAAATGGATACATTGCATGGGGTCCCCTATTAAAGTCCATATCAGATCCTTATCTGGGTTCCGGTTTGTTATGTTGTGTCAAGATTTTGAATACTTTTAGGCCTCATTCACACGAGAATCGACCGACACGTAAAGCTCCATGCTGCGTGCACGGCCGAATCGGGCAACTCCCGGGAAGGAAAGGTGCTGTGTGTGATTAGTACGCAGCCCCCGTCCTTCTCTGTGGGAGTACACGGCCATACGCCCACCTACGCTCACCTCAAGTGCAGGTCCGTACGGGTGCGGGTGTCCCGGCTCGTACGCAAACAGGATCCATCCTGTCAGCGCACGAGTACGTTCACCCTCACCCGCAAGGACGTGCAGGACGGGTGAGCATAGGGCGGTGTATGGCTGCGTAGTTCCATAGAGAAGGACAGGGGCTGCGTACTAATCACACGCAGCACCTGTCCTTCCCGGGAGCTACCCGATACGGCCGTGCACGGAGCAGTACGTGCCGGCCGATTCTCGTGTGAATAAGGCCTTAAAGAGTGCTGTGGCTGAAAAAAGGGTTGATAAACGCTGTTCTAGTATATTTTGGTCTTCACAAGACCTCCTGCTTTCCAGCTCCGTCATCAACTCCTCCCATGCTCGCCTCCAAGACTTCACTAGAGTGTCTCCCATTCTATGGAACTCTCTACCCCAACCTGTCCGTCTATCTCCCACACTGACTGCCTTTAGGCGATCCCTTAAGACTCATCTCTTCAGGGAAGCCTATCCCACCTCACCCTAACCACTGAACAATCACTTTCTCAAACAATTCATCCCCACGCAGCTACCTCCTCATGTATCACTTGCCCCTCCCTTTTAGATTGTAAGCCGTCAGGGGCAGGGCCTTCCTTACCATCTTGTCTTAAATTGTATTGTTACTGTAATGTCTTCCTTATATTGTAAAGCGCTGTGCAAACTATTGGCGCTATATAAATCCTGTATAATAATAATAATAATAATAATTTGAGTGGTCACACATCTGCCTAAAGCAAGTTAACTCGATTTTCTTATTTGTAGCCTAGGAGTCTGAATTCTTACACAGGCTGAAAGTGTCATTAAAGTGGGTTTGTACAGATTTTGTTCCTGTATTTATTAAAAAAGATATTAAAAAGATCTAATTTTAAATGAAGTAAATATGAAAATATGATATATTAATACTTTATCCTTCCAGCTTGTTGACAAAAGCCCACTGTTTACAAACCTCAACAGCTCAAGCTGAAAGTTACACACAGAATTGAAGGGTTTGTGACAGTGACTCATCCCTTATATGGAGTTTCCATCAAGTAAAGGGCGCCTCCAAACAGGTGGCTACTGATCTGCTGCCTCTTTAGAGAAGCCATTGTGCAGTGGTAATCCTCGGAATTAGAGGAAGGTTAGTTTTTATTGTTCAAGGGTTTGTTCTTTCATTTTGTAGCATATGTGGAGACTCAATATACAATAAAACAAAATATACAACATAAACATTAACAAATATATATATAAACGGCAGCCTTACTCACTTACCCACTTAGAAGAGAGTCTTCCAGGGCGTTGGTCACTTTTCGCAATCCACCTATTGAGTGATGGGTCCAGGAGTGACAGGGGAGGTTTTTTGGCCTCACACACTGCCATGTGTTACCACTAATTGGGTCTTGGTACTTGCACACGTCCTTTCCTTTTATCTCCAGGTTGCACTCCACCACCTCGCTGCTCCCATTAAAGTTAAAATACCCATTAAAATACAACTGCAAAGTAAGAAAGGGGGGGGGGGGACAAAAGAAAAGATGCCAGTTTTGAGGTCTGCAAATTGGCGCATTTTCCATGTACCATATTAGCAATGTTGTAAGAATTTCTTTGTGGTATTGCTCCTCCCGCACCAAATCATGTAGAAAGTGCTGTGTGACAGTTGTTATTAATGTCTGATAGGGCGCGCAGAATTATTCAACCACTTGCGCCATGGTTTTAGGTGTAAGAAGCCTACCTCGTTACGTCCCGGGATCACGACTCGGGACCGCGCATGCGCACAACGGGCTGTAGCGTCTCCTCGCGGCGCACGCGCACGTAGACCCTCGGCTCCTCCTCCTATTAGCGCAGGCGCACGAGGCTCCTTAAGACGGGGCCAAACGAATCTTCAGCGTCCGACTGTTTGCAACAGTGAACGCCGAAGATTCACACTCTGCAACCGCAGACCGCAGCAACCAGGGACCAGCACCTCGCAAACCCCACTTAGGGGGTAGCTCCAAGGCACATCAAGGGGGAAGTCTGAGTTTGCCGACCAGGACGGCTAGAGAGAGGACTACTGATGCTCACCACCATCAGCCATAGGAGATACCAGGAGTGTTCTTCCAACCGCAAGTATCCGTACTATCCGTACTTAAGCCGGGACTGTTAAATCTGTATTGTGTGACCAGGGGAATAACAGTATAACTTGCTTGTAGTCAAGTCCAGCTGACTGTCATTATAAGGAAGTCACTTGTCTCTCTTAGTATACGTCTACTGGGATTCCCTGTGCAGTACCGGGTCTCACCACAGTCTAACCCTGCAGAAGTTAACCCTCTCCCACCTATTTCCTTCAGTTGACATACACAACCTTTCAGTACGGTTTATATGATGTGAAAGGTCTTCTATATTTCTCTACGATACTAAGTGAGTAATTGAGACCATCAACTGATCAAACCGCAAGTACCCTCTCCGCAGTTGTGATCCAAGGCTTGCGCTGCAGAGACGTTACATAACAGTCGGACCCAATATGGATCCAGCGGAGATGGCAGGTCACATTTTGACCCTCACCCAGCGCATGGATGCACTTACGCAGCATGTGAAAGAATTGAAAGTGGAAAACCAGACCCTAAAGTCCCTTCTGGCTCAACCAAGAGAGAACAACCAAGGCCCTGAACCAAAAGTCAGCCCCCCTGACTTATTCTTTGGGGAGAGACGGCTGTACAGGGAGTTTACAAACGCATGCAAACTACTGTTTGACCTGAGACCCAAAACCTACCCCACTAGAGGAGATGAGCCATGTAGAACCACCAGCAGATTCCCCTCTCAGGAAGGACGCCGACGGACTTCTATACAAAGACTCCAAGTTGTTCATTCCTCCTTCGCTATACGCGACTATATTGAAGATGTTTCATGACGCTCCTTTAGCCGGACATCCCGGGATTTCCAAGACCTTGACGTTAGTAAAAAGACATTTCTGGTGGCCAGGAATGCACCGGACTGTAAAGGAGTACGTCACTACCTGTACGATCTGTGCAACAAGCAAGCCTGAAAGACAGAGACCCTATGGACTCCTGATGTGTCTCCCCATACCAACCAGTTGAGTAATTGAGACCATCAACTGATCAAACCGCAAGTACCCTCTCCGCAGTTGTGATCCAAGGCTTGCGCTGCAGAGACGTTACATTAGGTTAGAAAGTGTTTTAGAATGTATGCTTTAAAGTTGACAGATGTGAGAGGGAAGTGGAGGGACTAACATAGGAACAGAGCTGGAGGAGGAGGTCAGGAGGGATGGACAGCTAGGTGCAGCACTGCAGGAGGGAGAGAAGAGACACATTAGTGTTGTGAGCCACTTTTAGTACTGCATATAGTACTTGTCAAGTTTCTCTCTGTGCACCAGTCTTTACTAGTAGAAGTTTTTGCACAAAATGCTCCTTCAAATTTTAAATGATCATAATTTACCTTTTCTGGATAATTCTCCCTTTTCGTCTTCAAAATATCCACAGCCTCGCTAGAGTGGACGAGTGTGATGTGGATCTGGGCTTCTCCTGGCCATGGGAGCAGGAAGGTGGCCAGGTAGCTGCCATTGTTGTAGTCCTTCACTTGTCCTGCGACTCCAGCCTTCAAAGCTGGGTTGTGCAACTTGACCCTGAAGAAGTCTCCCCCGTACCCTTTCAGGTGACCATTGTGATCTCGAGCTGTGATGACCACTTGCACTGTCTCTCCAACTCTGTAAGTGTCTCGGGGATTCCACAGGTGGTATTCAGACTTCCTGGGACTGGTTGAAAACTTGAAATGCTTCTCAGTGGACGGAGGTGCCGGCCATTCAATCAGTTGAAGAAGTTCCTTGAATTTGGGGTTCACAGTAGGAGCAGAGGTAGTTGGAGAGGTAGTCCCGTGATGCTGGTGTATTCTGGGCGGTCTGTATTTATCTAAATAATTTGATGTTAGGAATCTGTAAATAAACTATCAGTATCATAAATCAACAAAAAAGTCGATCAAACAAAATAATTACACAACTCTATGATTAAATTAACCGGAATAAGAATAAACTTGGCTACACACATGGAGAATTGATACCGTTGTTAAAATCCTCAAGCCATTGAAATAATAAAATAATACAATGGGGCTCTCGATCAACTGAGATATGATCAATATAGAACTCCCACCACATATCCCAGCTCCCCTTCCCTGAAGCCACCCCAGGTCTTTTTTTTAATAACAACACCCTATAGTTACCTTCTTCCATGTGGCCAATCCTATGATGTCACCTGTTTTTCTCTTCTTTCATGGTGGAGATGGGTTCTCCCTTCACCTGAACTGAGTGGCTTTCATGTAATAGAGTGTGAGCACTGTTCAGACCGGGAGTACGGTAAGCCCACGTCACATGATGGTGTACCCCCAGGGGCTGTGTTCATGGCAGCCTGGGTTCACAGGAAGTAGGTTGATTGACACTGGCTGTTGTTGTAAGAGGACCAGAGGATGTCGCTAGGGACAGCGCAGGCAGTGGCGGACCTTCCCTAAAAAAAATAGAAAAAAATAGCATTGCTGTATAAAGTACTGCTGAGATTTGTAGTCCTCTATAGGGGGGGGGGGGCATTCTGCATTGCTGCAATGCAGAATGGGACCTGGTATATAGCACTACAACTACCAGTGGTACTTTATACAACATGTCCATCAGTTGGACTACCAATAATAATCATTTTATTTAATTTCTTACCTACACCTCTTCTGGCTGTTTTCTGGTGGGGGAGGCTGCAGATAAACACCCCAGTGTGTGTGTGTCCGAGTCTCAGACAGCGCGCCCGTGTGCTCAGGCGGCTACTTGCTAGGTCCTCACGGCCGAGGCCCAGGGCTGCCCCATGAAGTGCCTGCAGACTTTTTCATTCTCGGCTCCCTCCTCAGTATATGGTGGCCGGCGGGCCCCATCATCTCTGTGCTGGGAGTGTCGAATCATCCGATATCTTAATTTCTAAGGGGGTTTTTCACTAAAGAGCCGAAGGATCTACCGTAGCTTCGGCTGATCCTTCGGCTCTCTTCAGCCTCCTTCGACTGAACCGAAGGGCTGCTGTACGGGCATATTCACTATAGCCCGTACAGCAGCTGAAGGTGTCCGAGCAGCTCAGCCGAGCCAAAGGCATATGCTTCGGCTCCACTGAGCCGAAGTGACAGCCAAAACGGGGAGCCCAGCCTGCCGAAGGGCGGTCGCTGACCCCGCAAATGACAGCTGGGCGGAGCCAGTTGTAATGACAGATCTGCACCCCTAAATGACCTGGGAACGCTGATCTGTCATTCAACAATAACAACCGGGCAGAGCCGGCCTTAACGTCACGGCCGGCTCCGTCCAGTTGTTATTCATTGGATGGACCTGCTAGAAGACTCTGGTAAGTGTCGGCAAATAGGAAACAATTGGGCGGAACCAGCTGTAAGTGTTAGCTCCGCCCAATTGTTTTTCTTTTGCCAGCATCTATGCCGGCGTTTTTTAAATATTATTTTGAATTTTCTTTTTTTCTTTTCTTTAAAGGAGAACTATGGGGTCAGGGCTTTTCCCCATAGTTCTCCGAAGGGTAACGGGAGGACACAAACTAGCGTCCTCCTGTCCCCCAAAGCTCAGTATCTTGCGGTATACTGAGACGCCGCAGCTGAAACGGATCCCGAAAATTATGTCTGGATCCACCCAGCTGCGTGAGTGACAGCTGGCTCTGCCTACCTAGTGGCAGAGCCAGCTGTACCCGCCCCTCCCCCATCCGTTCCCCCAGTCAGCGCTGGAGGATCGGAGCGGGGAGGGGAGAATCCAGTCACTCCCCTGTCACGGCTCTCTGCAATGACAGGATCGAGAAGTGAGCGAGCGCCGGTATGTGTTCGCTCACTTCCCGATCTACTGAGCCAACCTGTGACAGTTTCATTGTCACAGATCGGCTCAGATTATGAGGCTGAGTGAAAAGCACTCACCTCATAATTCTCCTTTAAACTATTTTAATTACTTTACAATTTTTCAACTTTAAAAAAAAAAAACAATTACATTTCACTTATTTTCTATTTTGCTCGGTATCTCGGAGGTACTGAGCAGAATAGCCGAGCCGAATGCCGCTCGGCGGTATTCGGCTATTCACTTAGTGCCTTTCAGCCCCTATAGAGAATAGGGGCGAACGCAGCCAGTGAGATGCCAGAGCTTCGACCAAGCCGATCCAGATGTTGGATCGGCTGAGTCGAACTCCTTCTGCACTTCGGCTCAGCCGAAGGCAGCCGATATACAGCTGATTTTAGCCGATGTACGGCTGAAATCAGCTGTACCAGCCAGAAGTGGATAGCAGAACAGCGCTTGGCTCACTTCGGCCAGGTTATTCACTCGGCTGCCTTCGGCAGTTTTGTGAATAACCCCCTACGTTTTTTACAGGGCAGGCCCTTTTCTCCTCCTCTATCTGTTTTTTGTCTGGAGTTTATAATTAGCATCACTTTCTTTTACCTATTGTGCACTATTGCTTATAAATAAAAGATAAAAAGAGCATGAGCAGCTTACTGATTTGTTTTGTCTGGCCTTTCATTTAAAGGTATCATAAAGATAGATGTAGGTTTATTACATTACATGTCATCAATTGACGCAAATTGTCTGATAAGTAAAGAATTTACTGACATGCCCTGGGTAGACCTCGCTGACTGATGACATTAAACCAACCAAGATTTACTTACGTAGATAAGAAACACAGCCTCAGCTGACATAGATGAGGCACATAGCTGTAGCACAAATATGAAGTCAGCTTTAATTTTTACATGATATTTTATTGCTCTTGTCTAATTGTTGACTGTTACTATATTACATCACCATTGGATGGCTGACCTTTCATGTCGTGCTTTGGAATGACCACAATGATTTAACTAATAGGTCATGGTGGCTGTAATATAGTAACAATCAGTCTGTAAGTATTTACAGCTACCCCAGCTGGTCCCAGAAATTAAAGTTAAAATGACACTAAACTCAGGAGTTACAAAATGCATTCAAGTACCTTAAAGGAGAACTATGGGGTCAGTGTTTTTCCCTATAGTTCTCCTAAGGGTCACGGGAGGACACAAACTAGCATCCTCCCGTCACCCAAAGCTCAGTATACCGCGAGCTACAGCTACTGAGACCGCCGCAGCCGAGACGGATCCCGACATTACTGTCGAGATCCACCCAGCTGCGTGAGTGACAGCGAGTTCTGCCTATCTAGAGTCAGAGCCAGCGGTACCCGCCCCCTCCCCCGCCCGTTCCTCAAGTCAGCGCTGGAGGATCGGAGCAGGGAGGGGGAATCCCTGCAGCGAGCCGTGAGTGACAGTCACCACTCTCTGCATGGAGATGATCGAGAAGTGAGCGAGCGACGGTATGTGTTCGCTCACTTCCCGATCTACTGAGCCGACGTGTGACAGTTTCATTGTCACACACGTCGGCCACAACTATGAGGTTGGGTGAAAATCACTCACCTCATAGTTCTCCTTTAACCATGAACAACAATGTATCTTATTTGTGTATCACGCGGCAGTAGATCTTCAATCATCTCTGAATTGGCGCTGACACTGACCTTCCTTCTGGAGGGGGGCTACTTTTGTTCCCCATGGTCCCTGTGTGTGTTGTAAAGTAGGTCACCGCTCCAAGCTCGCTCCGGTAGTGGACTACAATCTCAATACAAATAAGTAAACTAAACGTGAGATTGTAGTCCATCCCGGAAGCGAGCTTGGAGCGGTGGCTACTTCAAAAGAATTCTCCAGGATCACAAAGTTTGAACCCACAGGATTCACCTCAAACCCATAGTAGTGGTGAACCAGAGCCTCGTCCCTATTACTATCTGGTAAAACATCAGCAGGACAGGTAGTGAGAGAAAACCTCTTTAACAAGCCTCGGAGAGCAATAAAAATCTGATGGGTGCTCTAACGCCGCCCTACTCTATCCAATCCTAAGAAAATACAATCTTGGCTGGACATATACAGTACTTTATATGTTTATATATAGCTTTTTGGAGCAAGTATTGTGGTATATGTGTGTTGTGTATACAGTAAATAGGCTCAGGTTATATTTATCTATGCCTCTGTCTGTCAGCCAGAGGCCACACACACTAATTACTGCTGAGCATTGTGTGCAATGCATCATTTTTCTCCATAGAGTACCCAGAGGTGCCCCAGGTCTTTTACAAAACCGGTAAAGCCCATGGTGACAATTTTGCTCCTCAATACACACAGAACCTACAGAACAATGAGAGCCCCACCCCACCGCTTCTCTGACTTTTGGCTAAGATCAAGTGTAGTATCTGTTCTTATCGGTTTTCGGAAGGGAAAAGCATGGACCGTCTTGGGACGACTGTTGCTTAGCATTCTCTGGAGTGAAGGTGGGTGCTTGAGGCGATTCCCTTTTAGAGGAGGGCGGAGTTTCTTCGGCACTAATGCCTCCTGACTGAACGCATGCTTGCTTGGTCTGGCCGGAGGGTTTCGGGGGCGGCAGATCCCGTGCTGCTGTGCCCCCTGGGGGTGGCGTCCCAGAGGTGCTCAGGAAATCACTAGGGTGTGGGAACCCACAAGTGATTCACTGTGCACATGGACACGGCACTATTGCATTTTCTGCACAACGCCTTTGGACAGGCCTTATGGCTAGTCCGGGGCAATATTTTTGCACTCCGGCCCCTAAGGCCTGTCAGCGTGGTGCACTGGCACTTTAGATTTATTTATCGCACTACATAAACAATTGGAACTTTTTTATTTTTCAATTTGACCCACAGATGCGGAGGGTGCGGGTACCTTCGGGGCCCATTCCCGATGTGGGGAGGAGATTCTGTGCCCTCATATAGGGTTCTCTGTCTCCTCCCACCCAGGGGGTTTCTCTTCGGGAGAGCCCCCCTACCTAGTACTATGTGGGACCTGTTTCGGCAGGTGCCCAAAGGATCGGGGTCCGCCGGCCTTCGGGTTGGTGGACGATAGTAGTCTCAACGCCTGTCAGGAGCCTTGCACCCCGGGGGGTCGGGAAATTGTGGCCCCTTCTTTATTGAAGGGCCAAGCACCCTTGTGCACGTTTTTGTGTGTTGTGATTTCACGCTTCACTTTTTTTGTTCACAGGGGATTTGGTTTTCGAAGCACGCTCCACAGGCTTTCAAAAACAAACAAAAACAATGAGAGCCCTACCCCACATCAGATTTAACTTGGACCAGATGAACTTTGCTTAAGTATTTTTCACTTTTAATCCCTTTGATTTTGCCGTTGCTCGTGTTATATTAATATTTTCTTTTT